ATCAAATAAAAGTGCAACTTAAGTCCAAGAAACAAGGATACCGCTTTTTGGTGCTGCTTCTTGGATGCTGGTAAAAACTCTCACTGCAAAAGGAAGTTGATAAATTCGTGAGTCTGCTGAAATACATAATTTATACTCTACAGCCTACAGCCCTTTTAACATGTTTAACTTACCCATAGAACCTCCAAAATTCATGAAATTGGTTAAGAAGCTGAGCTCCCCTGTACTTTTATTCTGTATAAGAAACAATTAATCAGTATCAGCAAAGTAGCTAAAACAGGTGTGAATACTCAAAGTAGCTAAAGATTGATATGCAGGAGATTAAATGAATTGGTTGCCATGCCAGAGATAATCTAAGCTCAGACTTACCTCTTTTGGAGACACTCAAACTATACCAAAATCCTCACCTTTATAAAGAGAACTAGAGAACCTATTTAAATTTAACCCCACAGAGCGCAAAATTTACATATTTATTTAGGCAAAATGGTCAACGTTCAAAGGATGGGTGATGGCTGGAGTGAGTTAGAGACACAGCAACAAGAAGACCCAACTAATGTATAAGATATCTGCACCTGGTGCCTCACTAGGGCAGCATTTATATTGTCATCAATAGACAACATCTATGCAGGCATAAAGGAAAGAATTTTGATTCTCGGGTTTGGTTTTAAATCTGAGTTTTGTATCACAATCCAAGGGTTCTCCCAAATGTTTTAGGCTTCAATAGTACAACTCAAAGATACATGATAACCCTCAAGTAGATGAGCAAGAACCATAAGGAAAAGCTAAAAGAGTGCCCACCATAGTACTTTTGTCTGGGACTTCCAGACTCGCTCTAATGCATATTCATTATGTAAAATTATCCTTCCAATTCAAAAAGTAAGATACAGTTAAAAGTAAAATAGAACACCCAATTTAAAAACAAAACAGGCCCTTCATATTTAAACTTACACAAAAGTTTGCCCATATCTGTGGGATCTTAGCACATAGAAAAATTGCATGCTGGGATGCCTGTAAAAGATTGTTTCCACATTAGTAAAGCTATGGATAATGAACTACAGATCAGAAAAAATAACATCAAATTTGCGAGTATTTAAATTAGCTAGACTACAAAAAAAAAAAAAAGACAATACAAGACACGGAAGGGCTACTTACATATAGAGCTTCAAAGAGAATAGGATCGATTTGACCAGCTAAAATGGTCGGTGCTAGCGCACAATATCTGGAAAACCATCATATTAAGGAGGAAGTTGACCACATTTCTCAATTATACAGAATGAAGATTAGGAGGAAAAAAATAGAATGCCAAGACTGAACTGATTCTCAAGCAAGAAGGATACAGTAACGCCCTGATCCACGTTTTCATACCCACAGGTTGGGAGTAATAGTAGATAATGGCAACTAATATTATAGCTGTAAAAGACAAGCATAAGAGGAACTGTGTTAGATCCTTTGGGATTGCCATAATCCGCTCTTCCTAATGCTATGAAATTGCATGCAACAGGATCAACAAATTTACCAAGAGTTTACAGCTCTTTGTGTAAAATCCATGATACTTACTATAATCAATAAACCACAAGTATTCACCACAAAAATTAAATTCCTAAGATGGGTCAATCACATAAGGCTAATCGTGAAAAGCTAACTCACTCTCCGCCAAAATAATGCTTTTGTACCACTACTTCCACCCTCACATCCCTAAGAAGCACAAGAAGCCTTTGACATACCTTGGATCAGAAGAAAGGCCAATTCGCCATAAGCTGAGAATGGAAGCCCTTTATGAAGACAATATGCCAGAGCAATGGTGTACCCAACTACTTCAAGCTCAAAAGCCACAATACTAAGACCTCTCACACTTCCATGTTGCAAAATTTTCATTATCTGCAAACAAAGAACAAAAGCATCATATCATGTACAATGTCAAACTAAAATCAAAACGATTATATAGTTACATGGTGCAACTTGTTTCATGGCGTTAGCTAAGTACTACAATTCGTTAATCACTTCAAAGTCAAAGAGGAAAATTCTCTTCCTTCCAACGAGATTGATGCCCACAACTTGCTATCAGTAAAATTTGAAGGACATATCGTATGCAGGTTTTAAACTATTAGTTTTCAAGTTTAAACTGGGGCACTTCAAAAATGGATTCCTAAAACTGCAAGCTTTGGACACGCACAATTCATTGACCATAAGTATCTGGATTCTTTCCAGGCCAAATGAATTCTGGGTTTAGTTCTGAATGTAACAATTTCAAACCCTGTACTAAAATTTCTATCATGCAAGCCAGCAGCCTCGAGAATTCAAACAATAACTAAACAAAATCGACGGCACCCATGTCAGAGATCTGTCATGAGTCACCTTCTGTTCTTATAGAAACAATTAATTTCAACAAAGATTACAAAATGAAAACAGAAAGATGATTGCTTTAACAAATAAACACTGACACAAAGAAAGCAAAAGAAGAAGAAAGAAATGTGCCTGAGGGAGCTTGACAGTGGTGGAAGCGGCGACGATGGCATAGCCGAGGAGCTTTGAAATAAGGGGCAGCAAGCAATCCTTCTCAGGAAAGTGACCGTTGGCAAGAGCCCCCAACGCACAGCTGAAATCGATTCCAAGGACCTTCATCTCTGTTGCAATGGATCCTACTCCCCCAAGACTCGACCTTTGTATTTGTCTGAGGGACTCGTTCGTAACAACAGATACTTAAACCAACCAACCAAAGCCCTTCTTTTTTTGTGTGACTTTGGGTGCTTCGGTGTTTTTACCGACGCGTACGCTGACTGGTACATTGTGATTTGTTTCAATCTCCTCTGATAATTTCATTTAATTTACAATAATAATTTGTTCATATAATTAAACATAATTTGAGGAATTCTCTAATAAGTATTTAAGTTAAGGATTTGTCTCGGCCGTTGAATTGTCTTTATTGATGTGTTGGTAAATTTAATATGCAATCCAACGGTTTAAATTGGAAATATGTAATCAATCATTAACATAAAATACTTATCGGAGAATCTCCCAACATAATTTTATAAAACTATATATTAGAATAACTTTTTTTATTTCTTTTTATCAAAGCCTCAAAGCTTGGAACGGTGTATTTGATATAAAATCTTAATTCATTACCTCACTTTTTTGTTATCACTTGAACTAACTCAATGAACTTATATCATATCATTCATTAATAAGCTCGTTACCTAACATTATGAGTTTATTTTACAAAAAACACTTCACCTACTATAAAATAATTTTCAAAATTTTTACACTAGTGACATGCCAATTCAAGAAAATCTCAATCCAAATATGTTACACTCAATGCTCGAGAGTGTATTGCATGTCAAGTCAAGTATCTTTGTTTATAGTCATTTTGCCTGGCTGGTGTTTTATAATACCAAAAGCCAGAAGCAGCAGAGGTTTGTGTAACTGGGCTTGGGCCAACATAAAACACTAACTTGAGCTTGCGCTTAGTTTCAACTAGCATCATTTTTTTCTGTTGTGTAAGTGAGGCCATGGACTAAACAACAAATCACAAGGTCATTTTATTGATGTGAATCGATTTCATTTGGCATTTTCATACTTGTAGTCTGCAGTCTTGATCACATTAGTATAAAGTAAAGACCAACAAAGTTTCTTTAATTATAAAAGCATCATTGGTGGATCATCATTTATCTTTATTACACTATAATAATTTCTATCTTGAATTTATAATTACCTAGAGATCTATAACGTTTGTAATGAATGCTTCTTTCTTTTTTGAAAGTTTTCCTACAAGCCATTTTGATTGTAATTAGAGCATTTTCTGTTGGACTCATTGTTTGTTGAAGATGATGCATTTGGTTCATCCTTTTCTCTGGTGGGTGGGTGGGTGAGTTGGCAAGTCACAAATGTGTGTGGTGTGGACTGTCAAAAAGTAGGGTTTACAGGGAAATTCCGGGATAATGAAGGTTAAAAGTTTAATTTGCTATGTAATTATGCTGTTGGCTATTTTGTTACAAACAATCACCTTCCATTTGCTTAGTTGTTTTCCGTCAGTTTTGTAATTAAATGGTTTTTTGGTGAATGCTGTTGCCGTACCTAAGTCCATTGATAAACAGTATACTGTTGCAGAGGCAATTAAAGGTTCTATTGGTTCAGCTATGGTGATCAATGCTCACCCTCTTGCGTGTTCCTTCATGAAAATACAACCCAAGCCTACACGCTTTATGCTGCCAAGTTGACAGGTGGTCCAGATCACATACAAAGATGGTGATGATGACACATACATTATGAAAGTATAAATTTCCAATTATTATACTACTTCTCTTCATGATCATGTTTAGCCAACTGGATGAGTCATAAACCCTAGCAATTGTTGCTATATATTGAGCTTAAGGTGGACTCAAAATGGATTTGATAAGCACATGTTTTTGCTGTTACTTGTTGCTGTTCATGACAACAGAAGCAGCAAGAGCTAGTAAACAGAGTCTCAGTAGTGTACACATTGGCATTACATTGATCTAGCTAACCCTATATGTTGATTAAACATCCATCACAGTTGCAGTTGAGGGACCATTGTAAGGACAAAGTTTGGTGCAATTTATAGTGATGGAAGTGGAAACCAGTCAGGATTTGAAGGACCACTGCAAGAAAATAGACAAACCATAACAGTAAAGTTAGCTGCTCAAGCTCAATACATTATGATGAGTTTTTGGGACAAAACCAAGGATTGTAGCTGATCATTCCTAATTAGCCTACACTTGGTTGGGTTTTGTATAATTTATCTTAGAGTCAAGATGGGAATTTGATTAAAACTTTCTGTGACAATTTGATATTTTGGTATTTTGTACCTATTAGGGTTTAGTGAAGTCACTAATTCCTCCTTTCTGAATCGTAAATATACAGGCCCCACCATGAAACCAACTCAAAGGCCCACTGAACAGTTGGTTTGGTTGGAGGCTTACTCTCCTAAGTCCCAACACTCCATGTCTGCGCGTGGACATTGGTTGTTTGTTCCCATCCCAAGTTTGCTCTTTGCCTTTTTAATTGTGATGGAAACAAGAGTAAGAGTAGAGTGTGCTTGCTTAACTCTAAAAACCTCTTTCTCTGTGTCTCTCTGCGAGTATTTGTGTGCGTGTGACAATGGAAAGTGGACTTCCCATGCTTAATTGTCTCTTGCAGCACACGCTGAGGAGCCTCTGTTCATGTTCAGATTCTTCTAATTCTTCTAATTCTTCCAAGTGGGTTTATGCTGTCTTCTGGAGGATCTTGCCTCGGAACTACCCTCCTCCAAAGTGAGAAATTTTACTATAAAAACAGAACCAGCAGAGCTCATGTTTCATTCTACTCTCATGAAAAGCTTATGTTACAGTAAGTCACATTGCTTTTATTGTTGCATTGCAGGTGGGATTATGGAGGAAGTGCTCTTGATCGCTCCAAAGGAAACAAAAGGAACTGGTAAAGTAATTAACAAAGAATTGTGAGAAAACACCATGTTTCTCATTCTGATGATTTTTGAGTTTTAAGTGAATTTTGGTTTCAGGATTCTTGTTTGGGAAGATGGGTTCTGTGATTTCTATGAATGTGAGCAAGCACGAAGTGATTACATAAAGGGGAGGTTTGGGGCTGATATCTTCTTCAAAATGTCCCATGAGGTCTATAATTATGGAGAAGGGTAAGAATTGACCATCTAATATTTTGTTGGCAAGAAATAATTTAAACACAGGGTAGTGACCAGGATGGTTAATTTGCATTATATTGCCTGCAGATTAGTGGGGAAAGTAGCAGCAGATAGTAGTCATAAATGGGTGTTCAGAGATACACCAAATGAAGGTGACCCCAGCTTCATTTCCTCTTGGAATGTAACCACTGAACCTGTAAGCAAGTTCACTACAGTATTCTTCTTACAAAGTAAATGCAAGAATAAAATTTTCTTTTCATCAATCCTTATTTTCCCTTATCCATTCTTACATGCAGCAACCAAGAGCATGGGAGTTTCAATTCAAATCAGGCATACAGGTTGTTACTTTCAAAATATTCGAAACTGAAGTAGCTAACACAATTCATCAGCTCTTAATAGCTGATCTAATCCTTTTCTTTTTCTGAATTTTTGCAGACCATTGCACTCATTTCTGTTAGAGAAGGCATAATTCAACTTGGCTCATTTGACAAGGTGTGTGTCTCTGTCTCCTTTCATTTTTCTTTTAAAGTTTCAGCAAAGTCTGAATTGTTGACTAATGGGATTTTTCAGATATTGGAAGATCTCAATCTGGTAATCCGCATACAGAGGAAAATCAGCTACCTCCAGAGCATACCAGGTGTTTTTGCAATGCAAAGACCATACCTACCTATCCAACATCCCTACATCCTCAAACCAAATAACCAGATGATTGGAGGTCAAGAAACAGCTTTATCAGTCTATGACAAGCGCCAATTGACCGGGGTTAAAAGGTTGTTCAATGAAATGGCTGATGAAACCCAAATAAATTTGGGCTGGAATAATCCACAAAATGGGCTAGCAGGATCACCCCATTGGCCAATTCCACCTCTTCCACCCTCCATTTCATGCAGCCTTGGAGCTCTTCTCTCAAAGCTACCTTCAGTCAATTTCCCATCCTATAATGCTGCTGAAGCTCCTGACACAGCTATGCTTATGAACAACACCAGCAACAACAACAGCAATTGTGCAGATCAAACACTGACGGCTAGTGGTGGCATTATGAAAATAGAGTCATCCTGTCATTTAGATGTAGCTCAAGAAGAAAGGCACAGCTCCATAAACCCTAATCTGGGTATGGAAAATGGAGGAGGGGTAGACTTAGGATTTGGACCTGTAAGAAAGGGAAAGATTTAGGTGCTCTAAATCTTGATTTATTATAAACCTACAAAAGTCCACAATGTATTTTTATGGTCAAAAGGATGGTTTTGTTGCTTGTGGCTGTGTAGGTAAATTGCAGCTCAATCTGCTTAGTTGTGCTCAAATGGGCTTTTGTTCAAAAAACAATATTTGTAATTAGTCTTTTCATGCAATAATGTCTGTAACATGAGAACATTTCTAAGTGTCTCCTAATTTGGTTTCAATCATATGGGATTCAGACAATATATGATTACAGATAAATACAAATCAAAACATAATTATGGTTCAAGTCCAAGCTTAACTACCTACCTTAGTTGCTGCTGTTTAAATATGATGCTCCATCTGCACTGATTGAGGGTTTTGGGATTGGATGGATAGAAGCAGGGTGGGGTAAGACTATTGTGGCCTATCCCTATCTCTTTGGGGAGTGGTCTTGCATTATGTTGAATGGTCCCCAAAACCAAATTGATGATGAAAACTGACAAGAGATTGTTGGGTTGGAGATCAAAGATGATTTTTCATGAGACATATCGTATCTACCACCCGGCAAAATGGATGGTCCCAAACCCCAATCTTACAGATTTTTTTTCTTCATCTTTTTGAGTGAGTATGATACTAATTATAAGTTGTGACTTTCGCTTATGGGGAGAAGCACCTCCCATGTGATTTTGGGCCATTCAACATGTCGTCTAGACAAGTTGTTCGGGTATCCTATGAGATAGGACATGCTGGTTATGTGCCTATGCAACTTGTCATTTGGAAATTCCCACATCAGTCTTGAGTCTTAACATGGTTGGACCCATTTTAGTTGGCAAATTTCAATACCAATCCATTTATGTCGATGAAATTTCTCACCAAACAAAAAGTGAATGGCCTTCTTTTCCACAAATGAGGCAAGTGGGTTTATTAAACAATGCAACTGTACAACTAGGAAGGGAGGTCTACAGCCCACTCATGCATTCAGAAATATATGAAAATTTCTCCGAACTTACATGTTGAAGTGCCCCTCAAGCCGTGGTGTTGGCTTCAATTAACAGAAGAATTCTGGTTGAATGAAATCAAAATTCGAAAGGGAAACATCAATTCCATAGAGATGATTAAACGTGTGATGATATGAATATTGACAGAATGAATACCATAAATTGGAATAAAACCAGATGCCTGGAAAAGATAGTGACCAATCGAGTCAATGCAAAATTTTTACAAAATGAAAACCATAATTTGGCATGAAAATTGTCTGGCCAAGAGTCCTGAGATATCATTTGGGTCAATGGATTGGTGGCTTTGCTGTCAATTTAGACCAGGGAGAAGTGCTTGAAGCTGAGTTGTGGGGTCTGTTTTTTTGGGTTGAACTTGGCTGTTGAGAAAAAAGTAGATGATATTGTTGTTGAGATGGATTCTGAGACTGCTGTGCTTCTTATTCAGAGTAAGGTTTTGAATGCTTGTCATCCTAATGCTGGGCTGGTCAGTAGCTGTAAAAGGCTTATGAATTTGTTTCGAAGGATCAAGCTTCAACATATCTATAGAGAGAGAGGAATGATGTAGCTGATGGGTTGGCTACTTGGAGTCACAATCTGGATCTGGGCTGTTGCTATCTTGAAGAGAGTCCTGCCTGGCTTGGATATCTGTTGCTTAATGATTCATTGGGAGCTGTTAAGGCTCGTCTGATTAGTACTAGTTAGTTGTTGTGTTGGTGTCTGGGGGTTTTCCCCCTTTTTCTTCATAAAAATAAAAAATTCCCGATACACGAGTCACATGATTCCAAAGAACTTTCAATGGTGATATTTTGTGCTCCTTCAACACTTTCAAGCTGTAAGTCCTTAAGTTAAGGCATTTGCAACAACATGATAGCCATTTGCTAAAACCTTCTTCTATAGTTAAGAGGAAGAAGAGGATGGTACTTTTAGAATGGCATGCTTCACCTCCACCAATAGAGACCTCGAAGATCCACAAAGAAAGAGGCCAGACGGAAATTCTAACGGTGTCCACACAACGCTGTCTCCGAATTCAGCTGGAACAAGTCAAGATGTTTCAATCCAAAGTTAAAAGAGTACTTCAACATTACACCTTAACGCATTGTAAATCCAGGTGACGATTCATATGGTGCCCTCAAATAAATATAGAACTCTTGTGTCTTTCTATCCTCACATTGAGTCAAGAGTCTATCCAATGAACTCGAGGAAGGGAAAATGTGAGGTTTGTAGGTGCTTTACTTAATTAATTTGCTTACGAAGCACAAATAGTATTGAAGAGAAAAATTCAGAGTTAAGAGAAGATTTAGTTGCAATTCACACGATTTGATATTTGAAGAGCGTAAACACAATTTGGCCAAATGAAAGATCATGTTCCATTATTAAGCGAAGTACAATAAGTAGGATCCGAATGAAGCACTTCATAAAGGCGAATGCCAAATTCATGACTGAATTTACAGAACATATTGGTAATTGACAACAATCTGTTTGTCTATAACTCAAATGCATGACGTAAATAGAGCGCTATATACATACAAATCAGCATATGAAATAATCCATAACAGACAAACTATCCATTTCTTGGAATCTAAATGTTGGATATGAGAGAGTGAGCAAGTATGATAAATGAAGAAGAAGAATATCAAGGTGCCCTGATTTTTCATCCTTCCTAGCTTTTGTTACCACTTCATAAAATCACTGAACGCTAAGCTTAAGAACTGCTCCTCTTGCCACCACCAATTGCCCAATGAGGTTTAGCAGGCGTGCGCTTCAATGCCTTCACTCCCAGTGGATTGTCCTTGCTCTGTTGCAAGCAGAAAGGAATACAATGTAAGCAAATACTTTTTAAAACCTATCTAACAATGCTAGCATATTAAATTTTAGGGTGTCTTACCAGTTGACAGGTTCCTGCGTTGACATTGCAGACTGGATAGTCACTTGGGCAGCAACTATAATGGTCATCACAGCAAGTGGCGCCCTCAAGTGGACAACATCCCCAAGCAAAGCAGTAGTTTGCATACTCATAAATACAGCAGCAGGTGTTGCTCTCAGGGCAGGAGTAGTAATTATCACAAACTGACGGGGGCTGTACCGGAGACGGAGGAGATGGACCAGGGTTCGGGGGGTTCAGGCCACTCTTTACTGGATAAGAAGCCTCCATTGCAATTCCACATATTCCATGTGCGGTGTTGCCCAGGTTACGCTCCATCCTGATGTAGCCTTCCTCTCCCCAGCTGCCACCCCATGAATTTCTCACTATCCAGTAATCAACTCCTTTGTCTGTTCCATATCCCACAACTGTAACACCATGGTCCAATGATGTTCCACACCGTCCCGTAAATACACCCTGAAATAGCATTTGAAACAAAGAAACAAATTAGTTCACTCGTGTTCGAATTGTCAGACAGCATAAGTTTGGTAAGAGAACATTAATCATTCTTCGATGACAAGAAAGTCTGTACGTTAATAATTAACAGGAGAAATGATAGGCTAACCCAATTGATGCAAATGCTCAAAATACAAGCAGAAGAAAGATTTTGTGATATAAAGGGAAGAAAACTTACAGAATTATATAACTGGAAATCCCTGCCACCTCCTTCAATGGCAACAGCAATTGGCTGATTGGAAACAGCCTTTTGCAATGCTTTCTCATCGTATGCAGGAACATCTTCATAATCATCAATGGAAACCACCTTGGCATTTTTCTGCAAAGACAACAAAGGTATGAGAATATAGCTAAAAAATTTCAGCCATCTGTTCTGTTTTTGTTTAAAACATTAAATTACAAAAACAAAACCAACCCTGTAGGTGTCACAGGTGGCATCATATCCTTTGTAAGGATAATCCTCTTCACTGTCAATTCCACCATTGCTGATGATGAACTCGAAGGCATAATCCATGAGACCTCCATTGCATCCTTCATTGTATGTTTTGTCACAGTCAACCAGCTCCTGCTCAGATAGTGAGAGGAGATCTCCAGTCACTAGCTTGTTGATCCCTTCCACCGAACAGATTGTAGCGAATGCCCAGCAACTCCCTTCAACAACAAAATAATACTCGATGATTAACTTAATGACATAAATTAAGCTCACATTAAATCAGCAAATATAATATCTAGGAGGAATATCTGTTATCTATTTTTGTTTACGCCTTTGGTGTTGGGCTTTAAGACCTATGTGGGTCGCTATTAATAAAAGCCAGGGGCCCACAAGCGTGAGCATTGCGAGGTCCCCGTGGGCACACGGCGTAATTAGCTCTCAGCAAAAAGCTCAGGAAGAATCATTGGTCTCAAGAACAGCCATAGGCAACAAGATTCCTCCGTCAGATATTTTTTATTTTATTTTCCGAAATATACAGTAAGCAATATTCGAATTAGATCCTATGGTCACACTTTTCAGAGATTTGGTAACCCCACGGGCCAAAACTCCAGGAAGTCCTGGTAACTGCATGATCCGCGTGTTCTCAAGGTCCAGCTGAAAGCCTTCGACTCAGCTGTCAGCCTCGTCACCAATTATTATTGGCGGTCTAATTGAATAACCAAAACATGATTTTTAAGCCAAAACCCTTTGATTAAGCAAACAACCAATCAGATTATCAAAGTCAACTACTCCCTAATCACAAACCTTTGCTCTATCACCAAGCAAACCCAAAAGTCTAGAGGGAAAATGACCACGCAACATCACCAAACGTCAATGATTTATTGCCATGACAAGGAGTCTGCACCTTAGCATACAAGTTCTAATCTCCCTCCCCGTAAATTAGATTAATTTAGACTATGACTTACAATGAAAAATACTAACAAACATTGGAAAATTAAATAAATACTAGAAGTATTAAAAATTAAAAAACAGAGTAGGAAAGTTGAAACTTACCGCAGCTCCCTTGGTCTTTGATGGGGTTGACTACGCCCTCCTTCCTCCAATCAACGGAGTCGGGCAACGAGTCGCCGACACGTGGCGCGTACCGGTCGCTCTTGGTGTTCCGGTTGGAGAGCCTCTTCTTCTGAGCTCGGGTCTTGGTGCCCAGGAAAGTGGACCGGTACTCGTCGTTGGACAGATCGGCGAACCGGTTCAGACCGAGCTTGTAGCT